CTAAGATGCCTGATGCTTGGTGCACTGACAAAAAACCATTAAACCCAAAAAAGGCAAATAATTCCGGCCCTAACAACCTTTGTCCAACTGCCTGCTCGTCCGCACATCTGAAGTTGACTGGAAAAGTGCCCTAGACACTAGTAGCTCATTCTCCTAAACTCACTCTCGCACCTCCTACATCTAGCATATGAAGTCAAATGTAGTATCTGAGAGACCTAGGCAATGGTTCAATGCGCATGCAGGTGTGTCGTTCAACTAATCCTATACCTTCGGTAAAATCCCATACCAACCGTCTCATACCGTTCTCAATGTCTAGTCTGGCAATCAAAGGCACATTCTTCAAAGTGGCCGTAGAAAACTTCTAGGCTCCATCGTATCTCCTCACGTCTTTTTGATTCAAATCGATGATCCACGATCGCTCAGTTAAAGTGTTTGTTGAGCACCATGTTCAAAACGGGGTCCATGGCTAAACTGTTCGTTGGTTTCCTGACCAATAATAATTAGAGGACATTTTTGCGGAAAATGGTAGAACGATGATATTAAGATAAAACCCATTCTCCCTCACTCCCTCTCCTTTTATTTTCCACCCTTAACAAAATGAAGGCGGATATGCTTCTTTTTAGACACGCCCTTCCCATCCCCTCCTATGTGGCCGACGTCACTTATTTCCTCTTAATCGATACCATACTACGACAACAGTTTAAAGTGACAGAACAATTTGCCAATCAGATTCCAGCTGGTGTCGCCCATTCCCTCTACTTTGCCTTATTGGCACAGAGTCTTACAGTTAAATCTGGAATGTCTTCTCTCATTTACAGTAGATGTGCTAACCGGAGAAATGTTAACTGAAATGCTGAAATGCCTGCAAAGACAACCCTCTGTAAGAAATTACCACTTAAGGAGTATGAATTCATCTCATCCAAAAGTATTTTATAGAAAACATGGCCAAAAGTATGCCGTCTTTTACTCATTTGGGAGAAAATTACGTCTTCTTTAAATTTTATACTTGGAGGAAAGGCATAATTCGGTTTTAACAAGTTTTAGAGTTGCGAAAATTTCCATAGCAGTAATCAGAAGACGAGGTGGCGAGCATACGTATGCTCACCACCTCGTCTTCTGTTTAAAAAGTTTATTAACATGAAATTTTTTCAAACAGTGAAATGCCCGTTCATAAAACATAATGTGTGGGCATTTACTAATGCTGCTTGTAAGGTTTACAAATTGGCCCGAATCTACTGCTAGATTTTATGAACTCCATACGGTTTCCTCTTAAAAGCGTATAGAATTGTATGATTTCCTGTACACGGAAACTCCATGGTTTGCAGACTGGAAGTCCTGAATGCAAAAGTAACAGTAGGTCAAGTTCAAAATTATTCGGGAATTGGAAAAGTTTCTTAAAACTGAATTATACCCTACCGTCAAGCACGAAAGTTGAAGAAGATGTAATTTTCTCCCAAATAAGTAAGCGAATAAATATTTTTATGTATGTTTTCTATGAAATGCATTTGGAAACTCAATGAGAAAACTCACACATAGGTTTGTTTATGCAGGCGGCCGGAATGAAGTTCCTTCGAAAGCAGGCCTCCTGAAATAACTTAACTATCTTGGGTAAAATCCTAGTTCGTAGCTGCACCTGTTGCGGGTTAGGGTTAGGGATTAGTGTTAAACCTCTTGTTACCACCTGTCCCGTATGACAGGCGGCTGGGTCTATTCTACTGCAGGTGCGGTTACGAAATATGGTCCGACTCTATCTGGTGCACGATAATTCGTATTACAACCCTACACAAGTTGTCTTCTCAAGTCGAAAACCTATTTTAGGATTTCGGCTAACATTCCATGAGTTAGCACATCTGCTATGTATCTCTTGGACTCTCATGCATGTGAGGAGTGTGTGTGTACATGGGTAGTGCTTCTCCGTCGATGACTGGTTAGTTTCCCGGTCTTTGAAGGGTGGTGATTCAGGCCAAATGCAGGGCTGCGTCTCACCCTTCTGGACTTTAGGGATTGTGTGCATCTGCAATGCCACGATTCAGTAAACCATGCTTCTCGCAGCCTTGTGCGCGCTGGTTGTTCTCTGACACCTGATTCCTGTCGGCGGATGCGCTTGTGCTCCCGCTGCGTATATGGACGATGAACATCGTTGCCTAGTGACTTGTGCCATTTTCCCCTTTCTGACCCATTTATTTGTTGTTGCTTAAAATTCTGACCAAGTGTTTGTCGTGGACCAAAAAGGTGTGGTGTTACGCCCAGGCGCGGGTACGGCCGTGTCAGTCACCTACGCCCTCTCCCACCCTCGGTCTTCTTGATTATTAGGGGGCCCAGAACATGACGCGCTGTTCCTGTCGTCCGGCGGTCATACCTGATAAAGAACCGAAAGTCCGCAGATCAGTCTCGCCAAGCAAGCAATTAGCACGCCGCCGGGTTACGCTCGACCTTCAGGAGTCAACAACACGCGAGGGTTTGCCCATGCGGGCGCTCAGGACTGGACCAGTAGGAACACGCAAACCGGACAAGGGCAGAGACCTTAAAGAGAAAGACACGGGCAGTAGGACTGAGATTTGGTGGGCTAACTCATGAAATGTCAACCGAAATTCCGAAATGCGTTTTCGCTTCGAAAAGATTAATTGAGTAGGCTTGTAAAACTAGTCAGCCTGCAACATAATTCTATTATATTTCAGTTACCTCAGGATGCCGGCTTTCGAATGAACTTCCTATCGGCTAAATGCAAAAACTACACTCTGTAAAAAATAACTACTTAAATAGCATGAATTTTTTTCATTGATTTTCGATACCCTTATAACACTTATTATATTTCATGGAAAACATGCGTAAAAATATTCATTCTTTCGCTCCTTCGGTAGATAACTACGTCTTCTTCTAATTTTATACTCGAAAGAGGGACGTAATACGGTTTTAAAAAAGTTTCTAACTGTGGGACTTTTAAAAGCGTAGGATTGAGACTTGGTATACACAGGGTGACTGTCACGGTGAGGCTGTTCCCTGCTATCCTGTCTAACTTCCATTCCGTACAGAGCTGGTGTCATACCATTGGGGGATGTTAAATTTACACCCGGTCCATGTGTGGGAGGAGAGGGTGCGGTGGTCACTGCGCAAGTCTGCTCTCATTATAAACGAATTCACGTGCAGGTAACAGTGCCTGCTCTTACCTAGCCGTGGAGCACACGGTGGGCATCGTCGGACGCGACGGTCGAGCTGTCATATCTCTAGTCGTATGTTGACGTGTCAATGACCAGCGCACGAGTCCTGACGTGTGATGAGAGTGAGATCACGAATTTGAGATTAGATTTCTTTATCCTAATTTTCGCATCATTTTTTCTCACGTCATTTGGGTTTCTGTATTCTGGACATAGTGATCGAAGAGCATCTTTTGTCGGGAAGATTAGAACGATGATACCAAAATACGGCCTATTCTCTCCCCCCTCTCTCTCATTTTCTGTGCGTGCTGTCTGAGATTCCGATGTGGCCTACACACTACGTTGTTCGGATTTACTCACCAAATGAACACGGAAAATAACCTTCATTTGTGAAAAATAAAAAAACCCAAAGTTGTATGAGCCCCCTCACCCGAATATAGTAGTTGTACAGCAACCATTCCTGTACCTTATGGCGTGATCTTCATATTTAGAAATTCCTTTCCAAGTACTTAAACTTCTGCATACTCGGCCTAATTTGTCTTTTAAATGGCGTTTGAACAATATATCTTCCGCGAAAAGGAAACACAATCGCTGGAACAAGAGCTTTGTTCGCCTGTCCTTTCGACTTCTCATTCGGATCTCTCATCAGAGAAGAAGAGTAAGGTAGTGAGTTGCGTAACTGTTGCAGTATTAATGGGATGAAGTTGCTATGCCAAGACATACCTATAAAAACTGCCAGCTACTGCAGTCCTGGCAGCCAGTTGTACGTGGTACGATAATTATTTAATTGCCCACAGTCGAGTCGTTAATTGCCGAAATTTCAACACCCGTGTGGGTTCTTGGGCCATTTGTTTTACTGGTACTGTTGTAACGTCCCGTGATCTGAACAGGGCTGTCTGAGTGGTGTGACACTTTTCGGCGCGCGGACCTAGGATGGAGATGGCGTAACCGCATACTGATGAAGATGGCCGGTGCCTCTACCTCTCACTTCCGCCGACCCCTTTCCCGCATCGTATCGTTCTCCCTCTCTCTACGTCGGCACCTCCCTGCAGTTGCCCACAGCACTGTGTTCCCCACCGATGTTTACTAGCTGGCATGTTGGTATCGCCTCTCCGCCCAGACAGGTTACTCAAAAGTTGTAACTCGTCCTGCTTGTACCTTCAACTATTATTATACGCCTTTCCAATTCCCTTTTCTGCTCATTACACCTTCTAACCCACTTGTCGTTCCTTCTTCCTTTATGTACGGATGAGTATCGTGACCTACTAAAAACCGTATTCCGATCAACGTTAGCCAGGTGTTAGCGCGGTGTTCCCCGCGTAGCTAACTATTCTATCCAGCCAATGTCTCTGCAAAAAATATGGAGGGGGAGGCCACTGCCCTCGTTAAGCGACTGAGGGTCGGAAAACTACGACTCGCGCGGATATCACCTCTCGAGAGAATTTCGGCATGGTCAGACTTAAATGCGTGGACAGATCAGGCGACTCTGCGACCTGTCAAACGAATAAAACTCTTGTTTCAGTGATCCTGTCACCTGTTTCGCAACTGCTTCCTGAAACCCGCCTCTTCTTTTCGATCGACAATACACTTTATTCTTCGGGGTCTAGTTGAGTCTCCAGGAAAAAGATCATGAGACGCAAGGAGGTTGTATATAGTGAGTGTAAGCGGTACCACAAGTCAGAAGATTAGGAAATTTCTGTGGTGCGAAGGAGTACAATGATGCAGGTTAGAGGGCAAGGCGTGGTATATGTGAGACCAATTAGAAACTGACGGAGGATGCGAACAGTACAAAAGAGTGCAGAAGTATGGAATGTGAGTTTGAGGGGCTGCTCCTGCTTCGATACGTCACTGAGAGGACAAGGTCCTGTGAGCAATTTTGTGGAGGTAGGCTCGTCTAGCTTGAGCTGTCAGCTTGGCAGCCGACGTTTCACCAGTCTTTAACACCATGCCTGCAAAGAAACCATTGCTAGTGATCCTGGCGGCAGAAGCAGGGGCGTCGGATTGTTGAAGCCCAGCGACCGCAGCATCTGCAGACCCCGCCAACTGCCTGCTAAGCTCAGCCGCTCCGGCAGGGTCTAGGAGGCTATAAGGTGAGCCCTGCTCGACGATTCGGCCAGCATCCATCACGATCACCTCGTCTGAGTCGATGATTGTCTGTAGGCGATGAGCAATTGTGAGAATCGTGTTAGTGGCGAATTGGGTACGGATTGTCTCCTGAACGATAGCGTCGGTTCTAGAGGTGTCAAAAGAGGAACGTTTATGGGTGCGCCATGAACACTTTACGGCATAGTGAAAAAGGGGGGAGCTGGGGACAGGCCATTTATTCAGGAGATGGAGGCAGCGAGGGGAGAGGCGAGCACTGCGGTCAGTAACTTTTCTCGACTTCTCAGCCACCCTAAATAGCTTAGCAATGAAGTTAAGAAACGCGTAAGTACAGTCTCGTATTAGTAACCAAAACAGCTAGAGGCCGCGTACATCTGACCCACAGAAGCAGATAAACTGCTTCGGCAAAAATGCATATGCGCGAACGCGCACAAAATCAACGACAAGCACTGGCCCTGTCAAATATTACCTCACTCGTCTCCACCAAATGGCTAAAACCACACTAAAACAAATCTTTGTCCCTCATAGTGGCAGCAGAATACAATAGATGTGCTAACTCATGAAATGTCAACCAAAATTTCGAAATGCGTTCTCGTTTCGAAAAGATAAATCAAGTAGTGTTGTAAAACTAATCATGACGCCGCATAAATCTATCATGATCCAGTTACCTCAGGGTGTCGGCTTTCGAAATAACTTATTCTCGGCTGCATGCAAGACCTATACTCTGCAAAAATGACTACTTAAGTAGCATGCAACTGTCTCATTGATTTTCGATGCCCTTGAAAATTCAAATATATTTTATGGAAAACATGCATAAAAATATTCATTCTTTTACTTATTTGATATAAAATCACGTCTCCTCCCAATTTCATACTCAAAAGAAGAGTATAATTCGGTGTTAAAAAAGTTTCTAATTGTGAGATTTTTTAATACCGTTAAATGGCTATTCATGAAACGTCATGTATCTGCATTTACGAATGTGGCTTGTAAAGTTAACAATATTGCTCAAATCAACTGCTTAATTTTATGAACCTCATATGGTCTCCTCTTAACACCGTAGAGAAATGCATGGTTTTCCGTACACGGAAAATATACAGCTTGTAGTTTTGAAACTCTGAATTCAAGTGTAACAGCAGGTCGGGTTCAAAATTATTCGGGAATTAGAAAAGTTTTTTAAAACCGAATTATACTCTTCTTTAAAGTATGAAATTGGAAGGAGACGTGATTTTATATCAAATAAGTAAAAGAATGAATATTTTTATGCATGTTTTCCATGAAATATAATTGAATTTTCAAGGGCATCGAAAATCAAAGAGAAAATTGCATGCTACTTAAGTAGTCATTTTTGCAGAGTAAAGGTCTTGCATGCAGCCGAAAATAAGTTCTTTCGAAAGCCGACACCCTGAGGTAACTGGATCATTATAGATTTATGCTGCATCATGATTAGTTTTACAGCACTACTTAATTTATCTTTTCGAAACGAGGACGCATTTCGAAATTTTGGTTGACATTTCATGAGTTAGCACATCTACTGTAGATGTTGAGAGGTCCCATTGTGTCCTCGAGCTAAATTTCTCTCAGGTACTTGCAAAAGAGCACACTGCCCCATTTATAAAGCAGTGTCCTGGCGACAGATGGCGGGCGCAGATGCACTGACTGACAAAGTTAAACAGCCCGCCTACGCGTGCCACACACGCTCTGGCTCCTGGTTTGGACGGAAGATGCTACAAAAAGGGCGGCTGGGACCTCGCATTGGTGAAAATACTATAATTGTCACAAACAGACGAAGCCATTGTACTCTGACCCTCAATCCAACAAAGAATTGCGTTACTTCGTTGGTTGGTAGCTCTGCAAGCAACAACGATTAGTGTATCCAATTCCTAAGCTTCTCAGAATGTAAGTGGTCAAAATGAAGTAAATCCTCTGGAATGAATTATCATCGGCTAAATTCAAACATAGAACGGATTTGTCAGAAAGTACGCGGTGTCGCACTGACGAGTCGGATCCCTCTCAGCTGCGCCTTACAGTTTCAGAATATCAGGAAAACATGTGCATGGACTTTTAGATAGTATCTGTGCTGTCACTGTGGTGAATCATGCAACATGCCGTGCGCATGATCTCACAAGAGACATTTTTACAGTCGTTGCGCCTTTGCCAAATTTGCTTGCATAACTGCTGCAGGAGTGAATTGCCCTGGTTTCGGTGTGGCTTCCTGCATGCGCATTATGCCGAGTACAAATGTATGTGCAGGTAGGGCAACCTGTGGTAATGTGGTATTTTGGTCCGTGAAATTTTACAGTAGACTGTCATGTAGCAGCATATAATCGGCTAGGTCCGTGGGAGGTTCAAATGTTCTGCAACAGTATGAACAAGTGACATGGGCTGAGCAGGCGTATGTTGAAGTTTGTAGTATTTGTAAAGTACACGCTGTGCGATTGGTGGGAATGCGCGGTCGCAGCGGGGACAATCCGCATCCGAGTCCGCATTTCTGGCGGCATGTATGTTGATGGTGCCGACGATGTACTGAACAGAGATGATGCTTTGAGCAGACTGTCGTCGCGGTGGCTCCTAAGATGTCTGATCAGTTGGCGCGGCCTCCGAACGCCGGTGGTTTATGTGGTCATTCAGTGAGGTGTTGGGTATTCGCAGCAGCGTCCTTGGCACATATTATTTGCTCGCCTCCCCGTCTTTGCTTTGATTTCCTCTAGTCGATGAGCTTCATAGATCGTGACTTCAGCTCCAACGGCGATATGCCACATAAATGATTCCAAGGTATGTAGGTCGTTCCAGGTCGCAGTGCTATGGATCTATAGGTGACCGAACATATCGGCGTGTGATTCGAAAATGCGGCAGCAATGGGAACAGGATAAAGCAAGGTCAGCATCCTGGTGGTAGAGGCGACAGTGGTCTGTGTGGGAGGTGCCGGTGGTTTTGTGTTGTGAAATAGAAAACAGATTTTACCGTGTTGACTCCGGAAATGTCCGAAGAGTGTGGCCACGACCGGAGGGGTTGGATGTTTGCATCTATAATCCACGCGGCTGAAGTGTGTAAGCCTCTGTTATCCTTAGCAGCGGCTACTCGGTTGGCTCTATGGCAGTGCGCCAAACTCACAGATCTTGGACGAGGTCCTTGCAGGTCGCAGGAATGATTTGCAAGGGTTTGAGGGAGGCCTTGATTGTTTCCTTACAATAACGATTTGGGTGTAGGATTGTCCAGCTAGGGCAATCGTGCACAGTGGAAGGTTGCACCATACAAATGATGACTGTTCTCTATAGTCCTTAACTGCTACCCGACTCTCATCTATGGCTAGCTCTGCTCTGCCGAGCGGTCATGTCGCGGTAACCGCCTTGACCGGCGACCTAAAATAACTGCGGTAACCCGGTGTTGTTTGTGTCACCACAGTCGGCAATTCTGCTCCCGCCTCCATCCCTCCCTCTACCTCCCCCCCTTTCACTCATTTGCACTCCCTATGACATCTAAAAGTCCTCTGGAGAGAGCGGCATGCAATCCAGTAGACGGCTCGGTCTAACTCGCGTTGCTCACCCAATAAATCAAGCCATAACCCTTAACAGAGTTCGGCTCAGTCAGCACCCTTATTTAGGGAAAACACTGCCTGCCTCCGTGCGGAGGAAGGGGCTAGAAAAGGTGCACTAAGCGAATGCCGCGATCACATCATGGCATGGAAACCGTGGCTCGGAGATGGAAAACCAACGGTCGAAACTATCGATCAAGCAACGTTACGACCCCCCCTCTCCCCCCCCTAGCCCGCCCAACAAGCTGCTAGAGTGAATCCGCTCACACCGGCGGCCTGGAATGTTCGTCCGTTTGCAACAATACGAGGAGCAACCGGCCGGAACGGAGGGTGGTGCTGGTCGCTTGAGAACTGGCGCTCTACTGGGCGGACGTAACTGCTCTCAGGGAGACCCGATTCTCTGAACAAGGCCGACTGGAGGGGGTTAATTCCGGTTACACCTTCTTCTGCTTCTTCCGGCTTCTAGTGTCTGTGATCCTTTCTGCTACTATATCTTCAGTACTCTTTCGAAGGCAGATGCCATGAAAGTGGTTGATAGTAGTCATTGTCAGGGCCGGGGTGAGAGTGGAAGCGCGAGGGGGGAGTTGCACTGTTAGTCGACCTTCGGCCACTGTAGGCGCGAAGCCTGAACGTGGTTCTTCTGTGCGCATAACGGTTCAACTCACCTCGCCCCCAACAATGACTACTATTACCCACCCCCCTCACCCACATTTCCACACCCCGCCTGTGTTTTAAGGAGAACTTTTATCGATTTTTCTTTTCGCTACATGTTTTACTTCTACGCCGTTCCTATATAACTTTACTGGCCCGAGGAGAATTTATCGAAAGTGGTTGAGTTCTCTTATTTTGTTTTCGTAGACTTTCCATTTCCAACCTGAGCAGGAACATTACCAGGATTAAGACCATACGGATGCAGACGCTTCATTTATCGCCACAAATATTCCCGAGTCTGATCCAGCATCGATGAGTTGAGTTATCTATCTTTCGTAGAGTTGTTGCGGAATACATAAAAGGCGCTCCGCAAACCTAGATTTCAGCATAATTTTCAACGGCTCACGGGGGGTGGCTGTATGGAAGACATTTATTAAATCTCTGAAGGTAGTGTACATTTTCATGTGTATTTCCCGGATTTTTCTCATAGTTGACTTGCAGAGAAGATTGTGTTGTTGGTTTCGCTGTTCCTCAGAAATCAATATTGATTTTCAGTGAGAGGTCATTGCCGCAGGAGAAGGTTTAGGTGATTACACAGGAAATGGGTGAAGACTGGCTATGCGATTTTTAAGAGAGAGTTGCTTCTGTGGTTGTTACAGGGTTGCCGATTCCTCTTGTGTCCGTATGGCTGGGCGACGTTGGCGTCCTTTAAGTCCTGAGAGATTTGTCCATGTTTCCATATCATCTGGAATAGCGCGCTGAGTTTGTCCATGGGCTAACTGTCGTAATAATTTTAAAGTCCAGTTGGAAGTAAGTCAGTGCTCGGGGACTTTTTGTTTGTCATCTGATGCACAACACTGGTCGTCTTCTGCAGCGAGGGCGGTCAGTCGAGGCCTACGTCAGTGGCCATGAGTGAAAGCCCCCGCAAGGCCGATTCAGAAAGCATCTAAAGTGTTCAGCCCATCGCATCAGAATATGCGGCTTTTTTGTCAGGCCGGTTGATCCATTGGAAATGAGCACATGAGCCACCTTCTTGGTTTGGCAACTGCAGACCGTCTTGAAGGACGCGAAGCTGTTCAATTGTACAGGGGCGCTCGCTGATTGCACTACGGAACTCATTCATACCGTCGTGCCTTAAAGCTCTCTCCCAAGTCCCGCCAAGCAGTCGCAGAGCGGAAAGTAAATAAGACAGAACAGCATTGCCGAGAAAGAGAAGCGGGACTGGGATGAGCATTTCTGGCTAGTTGGCCATCGTCAGCCAGCCCTACCCAAACCAACCCTGAGGTGTGCACCACGTGGGGCTCGATCGCGCGACCTGTTGGTTAGAAATCCAACGCCCTAGGCTCCCCTGTCATTGTCGGCAATGCTATTCCGCTGATAATTCGCGCCGCTGTGCGGTTGCTGGCAGAGCTCAGGAGAGAGCCCCAAGGCACAACGGGACGAGTGAGTTCCGTGGCGTGATCGGTTAGCGTCCCTCCATCATTTCATAGACGTGATCGCAACCGACAGGATAACCAGCCAGTGGCCCAGTGGTTAGGGGCGTTGGACTTCTAACTAATAGGTCGCGGGATCAAGACCCAGGTGTTTCACACCTCTGGATTGGTTACGGCTGGCTGAGAACGGCCAATAAGACATAAATGGCTATTCCAGTCTCCCTTGTCTTTGTCGGTAATAACATACTGCCAGGGCTCAGAAAACAACACGTCGCACTGACAAGATGTCCCTTACTGAGCTCCCCCCCCTCACACATGTGACATTAGATGTGACAAAGCCCTATGACGGCAGAGAAAAGTTCAAAAGTGGGAGCTATATCTGCACAAAAGTAGCATGTAGAGTTTTATCTTGCAGGAGTAATTTACACGAAACAATAACCTTTGAGGTATTTCAAAGTGCAGGTCTAGTGAACATGACAGAATATGAACATTACTCACGCAGGATCGACATTGGCTGTAGCTTCGTCGACCAGCAGGATTTTGTTACCTCGGAGGATAGCCCGAGCGAGAGAGAAGAGTTGGCGTTGCCCTGTGCTCAGATTGGATCCTCCTTCAGCAACCCTGCTCCACAACCCGCCCGGCATGGCCTCCACAACCGACTTCAGTTGGACCTAACGAGATAATACACAGGGGTAGGCGTTAGAGAGTAAGCATCGGTTGTAGTAGAGACGTCAAAACGCATGGAAAGTTGGTGAATCCGGCCCTTTATGCGAAAAAATTTCAATGAGAGCGACGACCTCATGGAATAACATGTTTAAGACACTCCAGAACATATGCTAATGCGAACGATAAGTATAGGAAAGGCGAGAAGATAGCTCATAGACCTCAAATTTCCTTGCTATTAACAAACAGCAACACCAACCGGATCTCCAAGGAAAGCGCATGCCTCAGTCAAAAAAGCCGGCTGCGAACGCTGTCAAAAAGGGAGCAGACTGCAACATTTAAAACAGGATGCTAAACAGAGCTGCTGAATTCTTACAGAAACCATCTACACAAAGAGTGTGGTTGCTCGAAAAAAACAGCAGAGCCAGACAGGTGTGTTGTGGCTGCTAGCGCCTTAACATGCACTTTAAATGCAACACAATACCGACCCTTGCACCTTTGACAGATAGTCAGTAGCAAAGAGAAAAAACACCCGATAGAGTCCACAAGATCAAAAGAAAATTGTCTTACCGCCTCTAGAGCGTGCCACAGCGCCTCGTCCTCAAAACAGTCCTCTGGGTCAAGATTGCTGCGAACAGTACCCACGAACAACAGCGGATCCTAAAAATAACGTATTCCATCACACTAGATCAGGTATTATTGTTGCACTTATGAACCGAACCTAAAGAGAGGTGTAGAGACCGTCAGTGAGGAGTAGTTTCCGCAGTCCTAACCTGGGGAATGATTGAAATCCTTCTACGAAGATCGGCCAGATGCACCTGAGCAGTGTTCACCTGGTCGATGAGGATCTGTCCACGTTGTACTTCCACCAACCGAAAGAGAAGTGACACCAGGGAGCTCTTTCCGGCGCCTGTGCGACCAATTATTCCCAGCTGCATACAGGCAGAAAAACAGTGTTCGAAAAAATATACGGAGGCTTGTACGGCTTTCAGGAGAATCGAAGCCTCTTGGTGCAGTACAGAAAATATAGATATTGTCAAATGAAGCAATGAAGTAAAGTATATGACCTTATTCATGAAATGTTGTAGTCGACATTTGAGGAGATAATACGGTATACATTCAATATTGTTTTTGTATGTTTAATCGTTTATACGCAGAAAACATTTAACTAAAGAAGAGTTCGTTTCACACCTGTTTTATGGAAGGTAAACTGTCCAGGTGTAGACGACATCGGACGTTGCCTGATATCCAAGTAGTTCCCTACGTTTCTTTATGCCGTGGATCAAAACCTGTTGTTTATACACGTTATGTTGTGGCCTACGATCCATCCTTATTCTTGCTAACAGTGCAAACTTTAATCCGCTCCAAATCCCTTTGCGCTTATCAGTGTGGACTGGAACAAGGCAAGAAAACGCTTTTTAATGCAGCAAAGGTTGGATTTTGTGCTTAATAATTGTATTGAGCAGCCAACTGTGGACACCTTGGTAATATCTATGTCCACTCCGTTTATAACAGATTTAAACACGAAAAGACAATTAACGAAGTACTAATCAGTTATATTTGCCTTGGTTTTCACCGATATTTCCTCCTTATACTATATTTCTTTTTTCTTCTGTCAGTTATATTATATCCTAAAAAACTAAACTCATGTAAGGACGTCTTTGATTCGTTGGTTTTCAACAAAATAGATAATTTCCCCGCTAATACGTAACGACTTATAAACCAAACTGTCTTCTTTGAAGAATGGTGGTTTCTATGACGTATTAAAAATTTCGAGGATGCGGCATGTGTGGCCTGTGCGTTACAGGGGTTTTTGTGCTGACTTTTTAATATTTCTTCTGATAGGTCACGCACTGAATATGGATCTTTGAAAGTGAAACACGGCTTAAATTTATAATGGTTGTGCTTACTCATGAAATGTTGACCGAAAAGCGTTTTTTACTGAAAAAAGTTTGCTTAAGTAAGTTTGTAATATTAATCACCGTGCAGCATAGTCCGATAGTAATTCAGTTACTTCAGGATGCCGGCTTTAGAAAGAACTTCTATCCGATCGCCTGTAAAATCCACACTTTGCAAACAATGACTACTTATTTAGCGTAAACTCTTCTCATGGATTTTTGGTTCCCTTATAAATTCAAACATATTCCCCATAAAACATGCATAACAGTATTCATCCTTTTGCTTATTTGGTAGAAAAATATATCTTCATTAAGTTTTATGCTTGAAGGAACAGTACACTTTAAACCAATTAAGGTGAAAGTCACCATTCTGCTTCCACAGTGCTGTGGGGCATACGCTAGCACTTTATTTTTTTTCCTCAGTCAAACTGACAGTGCGAACTGCTCTTATTTAATGAAAATCCGGCTGAAGGCAGCAGTTGTATCTTAAGTCTTACTCTGGATGAGGGCACTGAAACAAAATATTGCCGGTTTGGAGTATCCAGCATACTTTTTCCACCGTCACTGTCACGGGGTAGTGTTTTAAAGAAGATTGAAAATTGAATTATTAACATGAGTCAGTGACTAGACCAGGTCAAATCAATCCTCAATGAAATCGGACGTAGTGGATGGCGGAGCGCAAACCGCTCATCTCGGGCCTCACAATGGCACACCCTTGAACAATTTCGTAAGAAGCTCCCCTATAGTGATATGTTTCAACTCTGTATTAGTCGCCATTTAGCGCGTTCTGTTTGCGATAACGTTTGGGAGCTCGCTGTACCCAAGCGAGTAAGTGTCCCTTAGAGTAACTGCTGGCATCTTCTATTGTTCTCTCAACCGGCTCAGTTTTTCTGGCTACTGACTGAACAATAACGATGGGAATAGGATACCAGGAGTTTACTATAATCCAAATTACGGTTATCTCGGTAGCCCAGAGAGAAGCCATATCGTTGGCGGTCTGGAGAAGACTCAGCGCAAACCTTAATGGTACCGTCAAAGTCTGCATTCGAATCACACCGCGAACTGTACGTGACAAGCATATGCAGCTCCTATCTTATGAACTTGTGTTGACTGCGCCACAACTAGCAAACGCAGGAGAAGAGGGAGACAGCATGTTGGAACTTATTCAGATTGAACGGGAGAGGCGGTTTTAGATCTAGATGTCGTTGGTTCAACTGGAATACAGGGTATTTATAGGCTGTTTCACATATCCTCCGTTTTATATGTATGAGGGTAAAGAAAAAATAGGGTAGGAAAGGTGAACATTAATAGTTTTCAGATCACCGGTGGATGAGTGTGTCAGTGTTTGTTCGTCGATTGTACTGACAGTCCATTTTAGGACGACAGAGAAGGGTTTTACTCCACTAATGAGCTATTTTCTACTTTAATTCCATCGAGAGACCCTGCACAACACTCGACTGGTGACAGGTTGTCTCTCCTAATCGACGATGACATCCTCACTAGTTTGAGTTTGTGGTCTGCCAAACACTCGAAGGTCTCTGGGGGATGGCTTTAAGATCGATACGGCGGTGCTTGAGTAGATTTTCCCTCGTTCTTGGTGTTTGATGGAAATTGCAACAGATGAACATAGTCGCACTGCTTCAATTGCTTATATAAAGAAAGGAGCAAATATGAGTAAGTAGCTTGTCTGGATGTCGCACAGGTAGGAAAGCTCCGCAAATGACGTTGTGGTAGTGTGAGAAGACTTGTGGTTGCAAGCAGCTGCTGCACCAAATGCTGCATCCATGGCATATCACGTTGAAGCCCCAAAAACCACAAAGATTAGTGAGTCACCGTGATCTATTCGTTGTTTGGTTGAGATTTTGGGGCCTGCAGTTAGGCTAGGTTAGGTAGGTTGTGCAGTTGGACCAGCGGCAGCAGCCTTACTCTGAGAAATACAGTCAGTGACCGATCTCACGAAGTGTTAGTCGAAACTCTGAAAGATGTTTTTGAATAAGAAGAATAACTTAGGTGGGGTCGCAATATTGATCATCTTGCGGCAAAGTATTATGAAATTCCGGACTTGCGGGGATGTTGGCTTTCGGCTGCACTTTTAAGAAGTGCTGTGAAAACCTTATTCAGTAAAAATCAATACTTAAGTAATAAACATTTTTTACATTGAATTGTTGACGGTCTTACAAATTGAAATACATCTTGTGGAAAACATGCGTTTTTGGCAGCAAATCACGCCGTAGTCACGCATTATGCTCGACGAAAGGACATATTTAGGTTTTGTAAGGGTTTTTAGAATTCCCGAATGATCTTGAGCCAGATGAACGGTTGCATCAGCGTTTAACGATTACAAACTATGACGTGAATAAACAAAAGGCGGATCTTAATAAATAAAAGGTAACTGAATAATCCACCACCTGCAATTTTGCGACAGCCCAGGGACCAATGAAGTGAGCAACCAATAGGAGAGAAGAACAGTAAGTGCCAAATATAGTGGCTGTGCGGAATTTGCTGCAGTGGCACGATGCACAAGAATACTAAAGAAGCTATGAAAATACGCCCTAATGGACAAGGAAAAAATCAATTAACGTAAGTATGGACGTCTGTTTGTACCTTCCTAGTAAGTCAACTGACTGCTATTAAGTAAAAATCTATGGAAAACAAATATTTATGTTCATATTGACCCAACTGTGAAAAACTCGGCGCCTCGGTGGGATTCGAACCCACGCAGTAAGGGGAAGGCTTTAGCGTAGCCAACGCTCTAACCACCTGAGCTACGAGGTCAATATGAATTATTCAAAATCTGCCAAAATATCAATGAAATATTTATGTGTAAAGATTATGTACAAAATAATGAAATACATTGCTGAGCAGAATAGGATGTCAGCTCCAGGTCGCAAAAAAGTCGGATAATCGCAGCTTGATTTTTCGTACGTACGTAAACTCAACAGAATTCACCTGCCTCATTACAGGTTATGAGCGGGACTACGCACAAGTATACCTGAAGAAGAAAGTAAGCCATGGCGTACGCTTACGACAACTTCATGAGGAGCATCAATAAACGGACAGGTACGATGCTGTATAAATTGACATTGAATGATCTCAGAAAATCTCATTACGAGAGACTTCTAAAAACCGAAAGGTACTCTTACTTCGAGTATAAAATGCGATAACGACGGGATTTGCTACCAAATGAGTGAGCGAATGCATATTTTCGTGCATTTTCCCTATGAGTGCGTACTACTTAAGATGCCATCTTTGCTGAGTGCGTTTTTTACAGGCGATCGAAAAAATTCATCCTCAAGCCAAAAACCCAACGAGTACGAAATATTATGGGCCTATGCTGCGGGATAATTAATATTGCAATCCCGCCTAAATAATTCTCCCTAATCGGAAACGCATGCCAGAATCTCGACTGGCATTTCATCTGAACGGTCACTGACAGCAGGACTGTACAGCAGGTTGGCAAACGCATCAAATGTCAAGCGAAATTCGTTTTCGTTTCGAAAAGATAAATTAAATAGGGTTGTAACACTAATTATCATGCAGCATAATTATATATTAATTCAGTCACCTCACGATGCCACGTTTTACGCGAACTTCGTCCCTGCTGCATGCATTTTTCAAATTGGTTTTCGATGTCCTTAAAAATTTAATTATATTTGATGGAAAACACGCATACAAATATTCATTCTTTTGCTCATACAGTAGAAAATTACGTTTTCTTCCAATTTTTTTACTCAAAGGAGGGATACAATTCGGTTTTCAGAAACATTTCCAATTTCCGAATAATTTTAAACCCAGCCTAACCTTATACTTGCCTTAAGGGGTTCCAAACTACAAACCGTATATTTTCCACGTACGAAAAGCCATAAATTTCTCTACGGTGTTAAGAGGAAACCATAGCGGGTTCATAAAATTTAACAGTGGATTTGAGCCGCATTGTCAACTTTACAAGCCAAATTGGCAAATGCAGACACGTAACGTTTTATGAACGGCCATTTTACAGTATTAAAAATCTCGCAATTACAAACCATTTTAAAACCGAATTCTACATTTCGTTCGACCATAAAATTGGAAGAAGACGTAATCTTCTACCGAAAGAGTGTAAAAATGAATATTTTATGCATGTTTTCCATGATATGTAATTGGATTTTTATGGGCATTCAAAATCAATAAAAAAGTATCCTACATAATTAGTCATTTTTGTAGAGAGTGTGGTTGTTTCATGCAGCTGAAAAAGATTTCGTTCGAAAGCTGGCATCGTGGTGTAACTGAATTATTATAAAACTATGCTCTAGGATGGTTAATTTTACAATCCGACGTAATTTATCTTTTCTAAACGAAAACCCATTTCGGAATTTCGGTCGACATTTCATGAGTTAGCTCACACTACTCTATGTATGGAAGTTTACATGGAGACGTCCGGCCAGGTCACTTCGGATCCGGAATGCGCGTGAACAGTGCAGGCATGCATGGATCACTTGTCCAGCACTTGAAATGTTCCTCAGCAGAGCATAAAGTTCACTGCTGCTGCTGCTGCTGCGTCTATTGGTCGTACGACGATGAAATTAAGTCAGAACTTCAGAAGGATCTAGGGCAACCCAGTTAAAAGCTTGGGCGGGATGCGGCAGTCGAACATCACAGACTCACCTTACAGCTAGGACGAATGTGGAGGTCGATATTACTCAGGGCCCAGTTGGATTTGCCGGGATACTTGAGCCAGACGTTCTGGAAATGCACCTCACCACACTGAGGCCAAAGCGGATCGACGCTGATGAGTGGCAGATTGGCGGTATTGTTCATGGTGGCATTCGGTGGTTCCTCGGGTGGCAGGTCGATGTACTCCAGGAGACGTTCAATCGAAACCATCTTGAAGGGCAGTCGTATGCAAAAGTGCTAGTTAAGACAGGAAATACTGAAAAGGGCATCAGACAGGAGCGGACACAATAGGGCTTTCTTACCTGATTCTCAACTTCTGCGCTCTGTCGAAGAGCCCACTGTACTACACCGATAATTAGCATCAGGTATATCAGGACAA